ACGCGTGCGCATGCGCGTGCACACACACACACACACACACACACACACACACACACACACACAAATACAGAGTCTCAAACACACTTACCATTGGTCCCACATCACCAGTTTCACCTTTCTCACCTGATGGGCCAGGTAAACCCTGGAAAAGATTGAATGTGTAACAGTGAGTGTGTCACTAACTTCAACAGAGAAACTATTCCCTCCAATTCCCAAATCATAGGTCAATCACACTTCCCACACACACCCTGAAAATTCCTCTTTCCCAAATGTTTCTCCAATTCTCTTTGGTAAAGTTCCTGTTGAATCTGCTCACACTGCCCTCTCAAGCAGCACCTCTCAGAACACAACATCTCACTGCATCAAAAATATCCTCCTCTTCTCCCTGGTTCTTTTGCTAATTCTCCGCGATCGATTTCTGTCTGGTTACTGAACCTCCTGCCCCTGGAAACAATTATTCCTTTAAACTCACATATAATTTTAAATGTGTCAATTGAATCTCCCCTCAACCTTCCCTGTTCCAAGGAGGATATTCCCACTTCTCCAGTTCCTCTGCGTTTATTACAGTCCCTGGTTCCATTTCTGTATATCCCTGTGTACACCCTCTCCCAGGTCTTCACATCCTTCCTAAGGTGTGCAATGTTCAACGTGAGACACAACTGTCCTGCTGGAAATAACCAATCATTTATAAATATTTAGGATAACTTTCTCAAATATTTTACTTGATTAATAAAGCCATAATTCATCTGGATGTGACTGCACTGGAGGGGATGCAGAGGAGATTCCCCAGATATTGCCCTGGGATGGAGCAGTTTAGCTCTGGAAAGAGGCTGGATAAGCTCAGGTTGTTTTCTTTGGAGAAGAGAGGGTGAAGGGAGACCTGATAGAGGTGTATAAGATTATGAGGGGCATGGACAGGGGGATAGAAAGCAGCTGCTCCCCTCAACGGGTCAATAACAAGGTGACATAAATTTAAGGTGAAAGGCAGGGTATTTAGAGGGGATTTAAAGAAAAGCCTTTTCACTCAGAGGGTGGTGGGGCTCTGGAATTCCCCTGGCTGGGAGGGTAGTTGAGGCGGGAAACCTCACAACCTTTAAAAAGTACTTGAGTGAGCACTTGACATGTCATAACATTAAGGACTATGAGCCCAGTGCTGGTAAGTGGAACTAACGTAGGGAGTAGCGCAGTTTTGGTGGTAAGGACTCGATGGGCCAAAGGGACTCTTCACTGTTTGATTCTATGTTTTTTTAACTGTTTTGTCACATTGTCGCTTTTAAAGATTCACAGATAGACCCCCGCCACCCCCATTAAAGCTGTACCAGTTAGTTTATATCAGTTGCCTTCATTATTGCTCTTACACATGGTCAATGCATTGAGCAGATTCTGCAGAAGGTAGCACTTTATCTAACCTGAGCTTGCAGGATGCCATATTGAGCTTTATCTTATGTAACTGAAAGCTCCTAAAACAGTCACATATCCTGGAGAAATTCAGAGCCCATGTGTGATACCTGTGATCCTGGCTGTGAGGATGGGCACTCACACAGTAATAAACAAAACCTGTGAGGCTTCAAAGAAGGGATAGGACATGAGGAGCAACAGACCAGAGTGAAAACCGACCGTTAGTGGGTGAAGCCTGTCACTCAATGTGTGCTTCCTTGTTTATTGCAAGGTCAGAAATCACATGACACTAGGTTATAGTCCAACAGGTTTATTTGAAATCACAAGCACTGGCCCCTTCATCACCTGGTGTCATGTGACTTCTGACTTTGTCCACCCCAGGCTAACACCAACACCTCCACATCATGTTCATTGCAAGGTGCAGACCCAATGAACTCTCAACCAAAACTGACCCAATTGATCAGAGGTTTCAGAATGTATCAGCAGCACACTGTCAGGCAGACGTGATCCAGTCGGAATGATTGAAAGACAGGCTTTAACTTACCTGAAGACCAACTGGACCAGGAGGACCATGGAAACCCCTTGGGCCTTCATCACCTTTCTGGCCAAAGAGACCTTGTTGACCTCTCGGACCAGGCTCCCCATCTGCACCCTGAAAGACAAGTGAGGTATCAGTGTCAGAAGCTTCTCACTGGGGCTCCTCACTCACATGTAACTGTGCCAGGCAATGATATGGTACTCACAGCTGGTCCAGGTTGTCCAATGGGGCCTTGAGGTCCTGATGGACCAGGTGGACCCTGTAAAGAGATGATCAAACAACCACCTTCAGGAAAAGGAACTGCGTCAAACACACAACCCAACCAAATGACCACACTCTCTGACTGCAGTCAGTCAAAGATTAATCACATCCTGTACCTCCTCAGCTCACCTATAGCACAAACTTACCCCTGTTTAAACATGGGGGTAAAACTCAGCTTCAGAGGACGGTAAAATCAGACAGGGTTCTTTATCGGGTCGGGGGTGGGGGAGCAGGAATCTGTTTTGTCCTCACTCAAGTTGAATTTTGCCCATGTATTCCTTGATACAAGTAGATGCAGGGTCACATCCATCCACAGGTGAACATGGCCTTGTATTCTGTACTGGAGAGATATAGCTCTTCATTCTTCCATGGCATGTGGGCATCCTGGCAAGGACAGCATTTGTTGTCCTTGAACTGAGCTCCTGGTTATTTCTTTTCAGAGGGCAGTTAAGAATCAACTACATTGCTGTGGGTCTGGAGTCACATATAGGCCAGACCAGGTAAAGACAGCAGAATTTCCTGAAAGATATTAGTGATGGGTTTATATAACAATCGATTATAGTTTCACAATCACCATTGCCGGGATAAGTTTTCAATTGAATTTCATTAAGACAATTTACTTTCCACCAGCCGCTGCAGTGGGATTTGAAACCATCTTGCCAGAGCATTTAGCCTGGGTCTCTGGGAGAAAGGTGCATGTGCATCGTTAAAACTTACCCTCCTCAAAAGGCATGAGGAGGATTCCAATCGAGTCAGGTATACACTTGCTGAAGAGTGGAGCCAAGTGTTGCTGCTTTCTGTCAAAAAGATGGATACAGATCCAGGGACAATGTCCAGGGATCCCTCTGTCTTAGAGGAGATCACCCAATCTTATTGCCCAGGGACCAATTTCTTTTAAGTCCCATATCAGTCAGGGCACAGTCCCTTGGGTTTAAATGGAGTTTGATTATAAGCAGGCCATCATTTGAACCTCTCATTCTGACCTCATATCTGCCCATTTATAGCTCTGGTGCTCATTCTTCTCATTTCCCTCCTGAGCTGAGACCAGCCATCTTGCTGCTTTGGGTGTTCCTCAATTTCCAGCCCACATGGTGACACGTGTTCTTTTCTGTACAGTGAACGCTAACAGAAGGAGCTGCTCTGGGGACAGCAGAGTTTCTGGGGAGAATTTAATCTGAAAGCATTGTTAATCAGTGTCCCCAGAAATATCTGCTGCTCAGGCAAGGCAAGACTGACATTAGCAAATCCAGCCAGCAGGTGAGGTGAGGTCGGGTGGGGGGTGAGGTGGGAGAGATGAGTACCATTTTCAAATCAAATACATGGCCCATGGGATTCTGAGATAGGGTTGCTCGACCTGAAAGGTTAACTCTCATTTCTCTCCACAGACGCTGCCAAACCTACAACTTTTCCACCAAGGAGACAGCAAGAACTGCAGATGCTGGAGTTAGAGTCAATACAGTGTGGAGCTGGAGGAATACAGCAGGCCAGGCAGTATCAGAGGAGCAGGAGAGTTGACGTTTTGGGTTGGGACCCTTCATTAGGTCTAGATGAAGGATCTAGGCCCGAAACTTTGACTTTCCTGCTCCTTTGATGCTGCCTGACCTGCTGCGTTCCTCCAGCCTGACACTGTATCAACTTTTCCAGCTATCTCCACTTTTGTTTCTGATTTACAGCATGCACAGTTCTTTTGGTTTTTACATGGTCAGTTCTTACCTGTTCACCTTTGTCACCTTTGCTGCCTTTCTGTCCTGACTCACCAGCTTCACCCTGAAAGGAGAAATAAGATCAAGGATCATTGGTTTTTAAAATAAACCCTAACCCTATTGCTCTTACACTTGTCCTATTTTTCTCCAGCTTCCCTAGAAATGCACTCAAAGTATTCACCTCAAACTCTCCCTGTGGGGGCGAGTTTGACATTAGATTTCCAAAGAAGGGTCACTGAACTCGAAACTTTAACTCTGTTTCTCTCTGCACTGATGGTGCCAAACCTGCTGTGTTTTTACAGCAATTTCTGGTTTTATTCCACTCACAGTCTCTGTGCTCTCTGGATAAAGTTTCTCCTGGATTACTAACTAAATTATTAGTGACTGTCAAACATAGAAACATAGAAACATAGAAACATAGAAACTAGGAGCAGGAGTAGGTCATTCAGCCCTTCAAGCCTGCTCCACCATTCAATTTGATTTTGGCTGACCATCCAACTCAGTTTCCTGTTCCTGCTTGCTCCCCATACCCTTTGATCCCTTCAGCTCTAAGAACTATACCTAACTCTTTCTTGAAAACATTTAATGTTTTGGCCTCAACCACTTTATGCGGCAGAGAATTCCACAGGCTCCCCACTCTCTGGGTGAAGACATTTCTCCTCATCTCAGGCCTGAATGGCCTATCCCATATCTTTAAACTGTGACCCCCTGGTTCTGAACTCTCTGATCACTGGAAATTTCCTTTCTGCCTGTCTAATGCTAATAGTCTTGAGTTTTAGTCAATACTTGCTCTCTATACTGACCCAATCAAAGTCTTTCATGATATGAGAAACCACACTAAGGACATCCCTCAGCCTTCTCTTTTCTAGAAGAGACAGCCCCAGCCTACTGAGGTTATCGTTCTTGTTTAACCTCTCAGATTGGTCATGTCCTTGTCTATCTGTTTGCACTTCGCCCAGTGCCCCTGTATCCTTCCAGTTAGCACTGGGGGGTGTTTGTACACTGCATGACCTCTCTAGCATGTGCTGCTACTCTTACTGAAGCATCTGATGATGAGCCACAGGTTGTGTTCACACCTTGTCTCCATCTTCCCCTGGTGGTCCCGATGGGCCAGCTGGACCTGGGAGACCAACGGGACCCTGGACTCCATCACGACCTGCTGGTCCCTGAGGTCCTTTCTCACCCTGCAAGAAGGAGGAGGAGAGATAAACGGTGAGGAGCCAATGTATAACCCAAACCGACATCTGAACTGAGAGACAGCCAGACTGCTGTTGTCCAAAGGAGTTGCAAACCGTTGTAGACCGTGCATCAAACGTATCAAAAGCTTGAAAGATGGACCCAGTAATGGCCAATCTGGTCCTTGGGATCAGTCTTTCCTTTTCATGTTTCTAGCACAATGGCTACATGGAGCTCACCCAAACCAGACAGGCAGGTCCTCTCGATGGGCCTTGCTTTGAGTGTTATTGCATGATTTCAGGCCCAAAGTGAAGGTCTGGGAACTGCCCCAACGCAGCTACAGAGAAGACCAAGGCTGAACATCAAAGAGGGAGCAGGCAAGACAGAGGGTGTGGAACATTGTAAAAGCACAGTGTACATAAATTCAAGTACATTAATAGCACATATAAATGAGGGTAAACAGCACGAGGATTGAGGTAGTTGGTACATGGACTATATACAGATGAGCAGTGCTGACAGGAGAAGCTGTACTTACGGGGGCCCCCTTTTCACCAGCAGGGCCTGGGGGACCTTGAGGCCCAGGTCGCCCAGGGAGTCCAATCGGTCCTGCCGGCCCAGCCTGACCCCGATCACCTGGAGACCCCTTCAGAAACAATACAGCTCAAGGTTAAAATAAGAAACGTCACCTTCAATCCTGGACATTCTAGATAAGTCCTTTATTCATTCATAGGACGAGGGCATCGCTGGGCAGGCAGCATTTATTGTCCATTCCTAATTGCCCAGAGGACAGTTTAGAGTCAACCACATTGCTGTGGGTCTGGAGTCACATGTAGGGCAGACAGGTAAGGAGGGTAATTTCCTTCCCTAAAGGACATTAGTGAAGCAGATGGGATTCCCCCAACAATTGACAATGGATTCACGGTCATCATTAGACTCTTAATTCCAGATATTTATTGAATTCAATTTCCAACATCTGCCATGGTGGGATTTGAACTTGGGTCCCCAGAACGTTATCTGGGTCTCTGGATTAACAGTCCAGTGATACCACCACTGGGCCATCACCTCCCAATAGGAGTGGCCCGAGGGTTTTAAACAGTGCTGGGGGACTGAGTTGAGGTTAGGCTGGAGCCTGTGAGGGGGGTTTGCAGGATTAGGTACAGAGACCCTTGGCCGCACACCTCCTGCCAGTGTGTTCTGAGTAGCAGAATCCAAAATTTAGGCTTGGATCCTGCAGGTTCTTACATCTTCTGACCTCCCCCATCCGTTCTGTTTCTGGAAGGTGCCTGCTCTTGCTTGAGGCTGGTAGGCCTTGTTAGACCCTGAGTCAGCTTGAGCTGTGTGACAGGCCATTGTCTCTCACATCACCCCTAAAACAAACATGCTTCTCCCTGACTCCACCTCCCCCCACCGCATGCAAATATCTCCTCCTCCACCTCCAGCTAATGAAATGCTTGCTGACAGCAGTAAGCTAAGGGCAGGGGGGAGAGTGGGGTGTTGGCTGGAGCTTAAGATTTCCAGCTGGGATCCTGTGAGGTCTCATCTTTGTACCATCCTACTTTGGATCTGTGTTCTGCCTCTTTCCAGAAACCTAGTGGAGTGCTGACTCTCCCTGCTGCTTCTGAAAGATAATAGGCTTAACACTTCATGCTAATCTCTAAAACTCCTTGTTAAAATCTTTCTCTCTGGCATCGCACTGGTAAACTGTGCAACTGCAGTCCAGGATCAGTCTTTGTCCATTAGCAGTGGCCATTAGGAAGTGAGACACAGTATCTGTGATTGACTGACCAAAGAGATTCGGAACGAGATATACAGGAATTATTTGCTGATAGATTGAGAGGTCTGAGGCTTCATGGTAAGTGTGAGAGGATCACCAGCCTCCAGCCTTCACTGAAAGCATTCCCTTTTACAATAGTTCCTGACTTCATTCATGTGGATTGGTGGTGCCCTCAACCCTCCAGGATTAACCTGCAATCTCCAGGAATTAAAATAGAATCCCCTGCACGTTGTGTGTTCTTCCCAGTTTGTTAATATTCCCATTTACTAATTGCTAAAATATTGCAGACAGTGGGTAATAAACATCTGGAGGCTAAGGGAAGTAGATGGGGTCGTGTAAAGGAGGTGACAACACTATTTCTGGAGTGCCAGCTCGTGTGATTCTCACTTACCAGGGGTCCTGGCGGCCCAGGGGGTCCTTCACTGCCTTTCAAACCAATCTGACCCTGTGCAGAGGGAGAAACGAGAATCAGTGCTGAATCTGCCAAATGCGAGTTATTCAAAAACAGCAGCAAAACTAGACTGTTCGGCCCCTCAAGCCTATTCCAGCATTCAATGAGATCATGGCTGATCTTCTACTTCGACTCCACATTCCCAGCACAACTGCAGATCCCTGAAGATCAAATAAATCTTTGAGTTTCTGGAATTTCCTTCCTCAAAAGGCAGTGAATGCAGAATCTTTAAATATTTTTAAGGGAAAGGTCGACAGCTTCTTGCTGGCCAAGGGGTTGGAAAGATTATCAGAGGTTTTGAGCAGTGTAGAGTTGAAGTTCAAGTCAGACATGATCAAATTGAAAGGTGGAGTAGGCTCACATGGCCTTGTTTGTATTTGTTTGTATGTTGGCAAATCTGTCCTTTTGACCTGATATAACTGACTTGGAGCAAGGTGCCATGTGGTGGTTTTGGTGTCTTTTAATGGTGCCTGTCACCCACTCACATCCTAGTGGACTTGTTCACCTTTCCATGGCTACACAACACGGGGTTCAGCTCATTTTGATCCCTCTGAGTCCCAGTGAGGACGATGCCCCTGGATTCTCAACATCATTTGCAACATTTGACCAATTCTGAATCACACTCAACTACATTCTGCGGCTATCAAACAGAAATATTCTCGGGAGTTTGACAACAGAAACTGAGCTTCCTGATGCAACTCAAAGGAATATCTCCACTCCAAGGAAATCCACCCCACAACTAGATCCCAGAATCTCACACACCACAGCCAGATCCCAGTAATCACTCACCCCCAAATAGATTCCAGTAATGTCTTACCTCCCCATCAGACCCCCTTCCCCAGTAATCTCTAAATCCGCAGCCAGGTCCCAGTAATCTCTCATACCACAGCCAGATCCCAGTAATCTCTCACACTACAACTAAATATCAGTAATCTCACACTCTCACACTCAGATCCCAGTAATCTCTCACAGCACAGCTAGATCTCAGCAATCACCCTGACTATAGCCCAGTTATCTCAACCGTCAACCTGATTTTAGTAATCTCCCTCCCATTAACCAGATCCCAACGATCTTAAACTCCCAAAACCAGATCATAGTAATCTGTAAATCTATAGCTAGATCCCAGTAATCTCTCTGAGGGATAATGGTTCTGCGTCAATTGACAGAACTTATGTAAGAAAAGAAGAGTCTCCACATGATCGCCCACTCATTCTCATTCAGCCCCGACACTCTCACTTGGAAACACAGGCACTGACACACATTCACCTAACTGTAACAGATTTGGAAAAGTCATTGAAAGATATTTTTCCAATACTAATCCATGTTATTTATAAATGCATCCATTGATTTGCATGTTGAAATATTCCCAGTTGAGCAACTGAGATTTTAACATCTCCCAGTTGAAAAGATGTCTTTGGAATCTAACCCCATGCTATCCCTGCCCTGGGAGTGTTTGATGGGGACAGTGTGGAGGGAGCTTCATTCTATGTCAAACCCCATGCTGTCCCTGCTCTGGTAGTGCTGGATGGGGTCAGTGCAGAGGGAGCTTTACTCTGTATCTAGCCTTGTGTTGTCCCTGCTCTGGGAGTGTTTGATGGGGACCGTGTAGAGAAAGCTTTATTCCGTATTTAACCCCGTGCTGTCCCTGTCCTGGGAGTGTCTGATGGGGACTGTGTAGAGAGAGCTCTACCCTGTATCTAATGCTGTGCTGTCCCTGTCCTGGGAGTGTTTGATGGGGACCGTGTAGAGAGAGCTTTACTTTCAGATTAAAAGAGTGAGTTTTATGCTGTATCTCTGACACTTGTTTACCTAAATTGCCGATCCCTTAATGTTTCCCAATGTTTCACAATTGAATCCTGTTTTGTAACTAAATTGCAGAACACCGTGATGAGGCAAATAGAGGTGAATACAGTCTTTGAGGTGCAGGGAAAAAAGAATGAGAAGTGAGAATTAACGAGTGAACAATGAGAAGTGAGGATTAATGAGCGAACAATGAGAAGTGGGGATTAACGAGTGATTAGTGAGAAGTGAGGATTAACGAGTGAACTGTAAGAAGTGAGGATAAGAAATTGAAGATTGAGTTCCTTACCAAGGGTCCTGGGAGACCACGTTCACCAGTGAATCCTCGGAGGCCGGGAGGACCATCCTTTCCAGGAGGACCAGCAGGACCAGGATCTCCCTGATGGGCACAGAGAGCAATGACAGCATTAATCAGCAGAAAGCATTCAACAGAGAACCAACTCCACCTGAAATGATGGACGAGGAGGGCAACACTCCTGATCCAAATAAAGTCATTCATATGAAATAACGAGCCATTCTCTATCAATACCGAAACCCCTTCTCCTTGTTTCTGTTGAATCCACGTAATGGCTCAGTAATAATATTCATATTATACTAATGAGTAATATTATATTATTATACCAATGAGTAATAATACTCATCTTCCTCAACCTATCAGACGTTTCACTCCACTGCAAAATCAAAACTAAACTGCAGACCATCATTTGACTGCAGCATTGATGGAGTGTCCTGAGGGAGCGCCGCACTGTTGGAGGGTCAGTGCTGAGGGAGCACCGCACTGTTGGAGGGTCAGCGCTGAGGGAGTGCCGCACTGTCGAAGGGTCAGTGTTGAAGGAGAGCCGCACTGTCCGAGGGTCAGTGCTGAAGGAGAGCCGCACTGTCGGAGGGTCAGCGCTGAGGGAGAGTTGCACTGTCAGAGGGTCAGTGCTGAGGCAGTGGCTTGAAGGGAAACTAGCAGGGGGTGGGATTCCTTTTGTCTGTGACCATGCAATCAATGTTTATTTTTGTTTCTGTTTATATCACCAATTTTAAATTTCCTGTTCCCTTAGTCTCATAATCAACATTCTTCTCTTTACTGATGTCTTTGTCATCCTGTGCCATGTTTTAAAAACCTATGAATTTACAGATATAAATTGCACTTACTTTGTGCATTTTGTCGAAACTCCAAAAGCTGTTCACAGAATGATTATGAAGGAATATCTAACGCTAAGCATGCTTAGGAGACACTAAAACAGGTATATGATGATGTCAAACACCTGAAGGATCATTCTTAAGGAGGAGTGAGAGTCATAGAGTCATAAAGTACGGAAATAGCTCCTCCAGTCCAAATTGTCCGCACCGATCATACGTAACAATCTGCCCTTGTCCCATTTGCCAGCATTTGGCCCATATATCTCTAAAGCTTTTCTATTCATATACCCATCCAGATGAGTTTTAAATGTAATTGCACCAGCCTCCAGTACCTCCTCCGGCAGCTTGTTCCATAAACTCATCACCCGCTGTGTGAAAAAGCTGCCCCTCACATCCCTTTTAAATCTTTCCCCTCTCACCTTAAACCTATGGTCCCTCTAGTTTTGGACTTCCCAACCCCGGGGGAAAAAGACTTTGGCTATTCACCCTATCCGTGCCCCTCATGACTTTATAAACTTCTACAAGGTCACCTCTCAGCCTCTGACGCTCCAGAGAAAATAGCCCCAACATATTCAGCCCCTCCCTGTACCTCAAACCCTCAAAGCCTGGCAACATCCTTGTAAACCTTTGCTGAATCCTTGCAACTTTAATAATATCTTTTCTGTAGCAGAGAGACCAGAACCGAACACATTATTCTAAAAGTGGCCTAACCAATGTCCCGTACAGCTGCAAAATGACATCCCAATTTCTATACTCAGTGCACTGACCAATGAAGGCAAGCATGTCAACTGCCTTCTTCACTATCCTGTCTACCTCCGACTCCACGTCTAAGGAACTTTGCACTTGCTCCCTTGGTCTTTGTTCAATAACACTTCCGAGGGCCCTACCATTGTTTGTGTAAGTGCTGCCCTGATTTGCCTTACTAAAATGCAACACCTCACATCTATCTAAATTAAACTCCATTTGCTACTCCTCAGCCCACTAGCCCATCTGATTAAGGTCCTGTTGTACTCTAAGATAACCTTCTTCTTCGCTGTCCAATATGCAACCAATTTTGGTGTCATCTGCAAACTTACTAACCATACCTCCTAAGTTCACATCCAAATCATTTATATAACTGATGAAAACAAGTAGACCCAGCACTGATCCTTGTGGCGCACCGCTGGTCGCAGGCCTCCAGTCTGAAAAGCAACACTCTACCACCACCCTCTATCTCCTACCTTCAGGCCAATTTTGTAGCCAATTGGCTAGCTTCCCCTAGATCCCATGTGATCTAACCTTGCTAACCAGTCTACCAAGAAGAATCTCATTGAACACCTTGCTGAAGTCCATATAGACATCTAATGCTTTGCCTTCATCAATCTTCTTTGTCACCTCTTGAAAAATCTCAGTCAAGTTAGTGAGACACGATTTCCCACGCACAAAACCACGTTGACTATCCCTAATCAGTCTTTGCCAAATACTTGTAAATCCTGTCCCTCAAAAACTGAAGAGATCACGGGGCACAGGATGGGGGTGTGTTTAGGGAGGGTATTCCAGAGTTTATGGCACAGACAGCGCATCACCAATAGGGAGTCAAGAAAATTGAGGAAACACAAGGATTTAGAATTAGAGGAGAGCAGCAATATCAAGAGATAGATAGGGCTGGAAGAGATTACATGTCAGGGAGTAATGAGGATATGAAGGCATTTGAATATTTGAAGATAAAAATCTTAAAATCTAGGTGTTGGCCAGTGAATTAGAATGAGTCTGAGTGTTAAATGTAGACAAATTACCTCCAGGAGTTCCCACTCCTGATGTTACACTCACCTTTGCACCTTCTTTCCCAGCGGATCCTGGCAGACCTTGTTCTCCAGGAGGACCGGGAGGCCCTGGATGACCACGTTCACCAAGGGAGCCAGTCTCTCCTGTGGGACCCTGACACAGCAGAAAGACAGAAACACAGTGAGACACTGTAACAGTCTCCCACTCCCACTACCATCTCCCAAAACCTCCCTTTCACCAATACTATCTCCAAAAACCTCCCACTCCCCATGACCATATCCCAAAATCTCCCACTGGCCATGACCATATCCCAAACCCTGGACTCCCTATGGCCATCTCCTAAAGCCTCCCAACCTTTCAAAGACCCACTCCCTGGAAGGCCAATCTTGCAGCACTAACTCTGATCTCTTCTCCCTTTTTAAATTGCTGCTGGGTGTTTTTGCAATACTCAAAATGCAAAAACCTGTCCTATTCTGAAGAAGGGACACTGGCTTTGAAACATTAACTCTGTTTCTCTCTCTACAGGTGCTGCCAGACCTGCTGAGTTTCTCCAGCAATTTCTGTTTTTTCCATATTTCCAACATCGGCAGTTCTTTGTAAAAGAGGGTATGATTTGTTACATAGAAATAAAACAAAGTGAGCCTCTTTGTTGAAGAATCTGTGCAGAGAGTGACCCTAATTTGTTTGAATCAATATGAGGGGGATGAATTCATTCCGCTCAAGGGACTGGCAGCTGTTCGCCTCTTGTCTGAGCAAAACTCTGTTCAGAGATTGTGTGCAGGTTCCGGCAGGATCATGCCCTGTGAGTGGGTGACTCGGAAAATACTCAACCAGACTCGAACTGCTAACAATCACTGGGGGACCTATTTGATTGAAATGTTGCATAATAAAATCTGAAGTTGTAAAGTTAACTCAGCAGCTTAAGTGAGCAGGGCTGAATTTGATAAGCTTGTTAACATCAGGAAATGAGGTCGCCCATGTCTATGTTGACACTGAACTGGACGATGTTCCTTCCACTTGGCACTAACCCACGAACGTGATTTGGTGTAACAATCACTGAGATTCTGAGGGAGATCCCAGCACAAAATGTGAGCAACTACAGAAGCTTTCAGAGGCTCCACACTCAAACTCTTGACCCCAATCTTCAGTGCCTACTACTCATCTTTTACTTTGTGATTAGAAATTCTATTTGGAGAGCCTGAATTGAATTCTGAATGAAGTTGTACTCACCTGTGGGCCGACCACTCCAGGAGGACCAGGTGGGCCAGTCTTGCCTTGGAAACCCTGTGAAGTGAAGATTTGAGTTGTTTGTTACTGACACAGCAAGATCTCACCAATAACATTTCAGTCAGATCACAAGGAGGCCAGCAAGTGGATTTCATCTGGGGAAACTGTTGCTGGGCTGATTTCACAGTGTGAGAAAACCAGCATCTGTAGCTAGGCCCCACGTCTTCCAGCCCTCTTAGAGACCTGGATCATAACCAGGGGACTGGCCCCACTCTCCCAATGAGGGGAGCAGTTGGGGTTGGGTGTGGTGGTGGTGGAAGTGTGGGTGGATGGGGTAGGGGTGTCATGGGTGGGGTTGGGGTGGGGAGTTGAGCTGGTCCCTGTTTCCTCTCATAGCAGGTGAGATGAACTGAAAGATGGTGAGGGTACACACAGGAGTCCAGTCAGGAACAGTGGAAGGTTAAACGTTTTTATTTTGCGAGTACAAAACACAATATAATGCAATGTAAGTTTGTGTCAACATAACAATGTAACGTGGAACAGCCCTATTGCCACTCAACATGTAACAAAACTCAACAACTTTGTTTTTTGATTAATCTATTTTTCCAATCAATCTTCAGATGTTATTACACACCCCTGGAGCAGGTGGGACTTGAATCCGGGCTTCCTGGTCCAGGGGAAATAGAGACACTACCACTGTGCCACAAGACGGCCCTAACAACTTTAACTGACTCCAATCCAATTAACTGATCCCAGCTTTACCTCAATTAGAACAAACCAACACAAGTGGCTGGGGCTGCATAGGTCATAGACAACACAACAAAAGTTGAAATCTTCCAACGTAAACGCAGTCAATATTAGCCAATACTAGTCAATATTAACTAACCCCAGTCAATATCCATCAACACTAGTTAATATTAATCAACCCTGGTCAATATTAACAAACTCTGGTCAATATTAATGAACTCCAGTCAATGTGGATCATTGGGATGTTTTCCAGACCTGTACAAGAAGGATGGATTGCACCTAAACAGGAGAGGCACCGATAATCCTTGCAGGGAGATTTGCTCGAGTCACTCGGCAGGGTTTAAACTAATGCGGCATGGGGGGTAGGAACCAGAGCAGTAGGTCAGCAAATGAAATGACCGAGGAGGAGCCAGAGACTAAGACCCAGTAAGACTAAGAGGAAGATCACACAGGGGGAGGTTACTGAACACAGTGGGACTGGCGGTCTGAGGTATGTTTGTTTTAATGCAAGGAGTATGACAGGTAAGGCAAATTAATTTAGAGCTTAGATTAATAAATATAACTAAGATGTTGTAGTTATTACAGAGACATGGTGGAGACAGGGACAAAGCCAGCAGCTTAACGTTCTGGGATTTTGCTGTTTCAGGCGAGGTAGAGAGGGATGTAAAAGAAAGGGGGGAGTTGCATTACTGATTAGGGAGAATATCACAGCTGTACTAAGGGAGGACACCTTGGAGGGGTCATCCAGAGAGGCCGTGTGGGTACAGCTCAGAAACAGAAAAAGTGCAATCACATTGATGAGATTGTACTCCAAGCCTCCCAACAACCAGCAGGAGATAGAGGAAGAGATACATGGTCAGATTATGGAAAAGTGTGAAAATAACAGGGTAGTTGTGGTGGGTGGTTTTAACTTCCCTGATATTGACTGGGACTTTCTTAGTGCCTGGGTCTTGAATGGGAATGTGTTAGGTGTGTCCAGGAGAGTTTCTTAAAACAATACTTAAAAGAAATAGTGACCATAATTCTGTAAGTTTTAAGTTACTTATGGGTAAGGATAACAGTAGTCATTGGGGGAAAGTATTAAACTAGGGGAAGGCTAATTACCACAATATTAGGCAGGAAATGGAGAATGTCAAATGGGGGTGGCTTTTCAAAGGTAAATCCACGTCTGTTAGGTGGGAGTCTTTTAAAAGACAGTTGATTAGAATTCAGAACCACCATGTTCCTGTCAGAATGAAGGATAAGGATGGCAAGATTTCAGAACCTTCGATGACAAGTGAAATTGTGAGCTTAGTCAAAAGATAAAAGAGGCATATATAAAGTTTAGGAAACTGAAAACAGATACTGCGTCATAGAATATAAAGAAAGCTGGAACGAACTTAAACAAGGAATTAGAATGGCTAAAAAGGACCATGAAATGACCTTGGCAAACAGGATTAAGGAAAATCCCAAGGCATTTTATACGTATATGGGGAGCAAAAGGGCAGCTACGAAAGGGGAGGTCCACTCAAGAACGAAAGAGGAAATTTATGCATGGAGCTGAGGAAGCGGGTGAGGTCCTTAAAGAATACTTTGTATTGGTATTCACAAAGAGAAGAACAGAGTCATAGAGTCATACAGCATAGAAACAGACCCTTCGATCCAACTCGTCCATGCTGACCAGATATCCTAAATTAATCTAGTCCCATTTGCTAGCATTTGGCTCACATCCCTCTAAATCCTTCCTATTCATATACCCATCCAGATGCCTTTTAAATGCTGTAATTGTACCAACCTCCACCACTTCCTCTGGCAGCTCATTCCATACACGCACTACCCTCTGCGTGAAATAATTGTTCCTTAGGTCCCTTTTAAATCTTTCCCCTCTCACCTTAAATCTATGTCCTCAATTTTTGGACTGTCCTACCCTGGGGAAAGGACCTTGGCTATTTACCCTGTCCATGCCCCTCATGACTTTATAAACCTCTATAAGGTCACCCCCTCAGCCTCCGATGCTCCAGGGAAAATAGCCCCAGCCTATACAGCCTCTCCCTATAGCTTAAACCCTCCAGTTCCGGTAACATCTTTGTAAATCTTTTCTGAACCCTTTCAAGTTTAACAACATCTTTCCTATAGTAGGGAGACCAGAACTGAATGCAGTATCCCACAAGTGGCCTAACCAATATCCTGTACAGACGCAATATGACCTCCCAATTTCCAGACTCAATGCAACTCAGTTTAAATGAAGATTATTGGACCAATCCAGCTCAAGCAAACACAACAGATGCCATTTTCCTGTCAGCCAATGCTTCACAACGCAGCTCATTTCAACTCAACACAGCACAACCCAGTTTTGGCAATTCCATCCTTGGGTGACTGTCTGTGTGGGGTTTGCACATTCTCCCCACATCTGTGTGGGTTTCCTCCAGGTGCTCCGGTTTCCTCCCACAGTCCAAAGATGTTCAGGTTAGGTGGATTAGCCAGACTGAATTTCCCGTGTTCACGGATGTGTAGATTAGGTGGGCTATAGGGGGATGGGACTGGGTGGGATGCTCTGAGGGCCAGTGTGAACTTGTTGGGCCGAAGGGCCTGTTTCCACACTGTAGGGATTCTATGATTCTATGATAAGACAACATAACAGAATTGAATCCATCCTAATCCAAATGAACCTAACAAAACTCATGAAGCTTTACATCCAGAACAAGGCAATCCATATGAGTTCTGAGAGAGGGTCACCGGACCCGAAACCTGAACTCTTATTTTTTTCTTCACAGATGCTGCCAGACCTGCTGAGCTTTTCTAGCAACTTCTATTTTTGTTCCTGATTTACAGCATCTGCAGTTCTTTCGGTTTTTATAAGGCAACCCATTTGATTGTCCATTTGATTGTCTCTCAATCTCACATTCACTTCCTCCATCACCAGGGCACCATGGGTGCAGTCTGTACTGTCAATGGACTATGGATCTACAAAATATGATGCAGCAGCACTGTAAAACTTATTAAAACCTCACAAAACTGTGACCTCTATTGTCTCGAAGGACAGGGGCAGGAGATACTTGGGAACACCACCCGCTGCGAGTTCCCCTCCAAGCTACTAACCATCCTGACTTGGAAAAATATCACCGTTCCTTCACTGTCACTGGGTCAAAATCCAGGAGTTCCCTCCCTAAGGGCATTGTGGATGTCTCTAGGTCCCTCAGGCGGCAGCAGTTCAAGAAGGCAGCTCACCACTACTTTCTCCAGGACAACCAGGGACAGGCAATTTATTGAGGCCTAGCTAATGGTAACCAAGTTCCAGGAATGAATAAGTCATTGTCAACACCCACTGCAGTTACCATAAGCCAGTATCCATTCAGCCTGCTGGTACAAGCCAACACCAGGCAACCACTGAACTCCATCGAACTCAATATCAGCCAACACAACCTGATTCATCTCACACTCAATTGTCACGTCCCAAAGATGCAACTGGGAAAGTGAACCTTTTATTGAGCTGGGCTAGTGTCTCATTAAGTAACCATCATTGCAGCTCACTGATGCCAGCCTCTTACAAGTCCCGATATTAAAGAGATCCTGCAAACTAATTCTATTTGAGAGATATTGGTCTGTTAAATCTTTTAATTCTGGTTTTTGTAACCAAGTGGGTACTAGTGAATGGAGACTTTGTGCACTTTTGCTGTACTTATGTATTCCTATAATTAGTACATATGACAAATAAATAAATCTAAATCTTAATTGTCATATATTCTAATGGCCCTAAGTTACTGAGCAGCAGCTACATGAAGCAAAGATCTTCAGTCACTATTATTAGCCAATCTCTTTTGTTTCAGATTATCTTTCCTCAATTTGCTGCCTCCATGTATGTGGGGGTGGGGGTTATGGAGGGAACTGATGGGATCGGGGCACACGGTTCACTCAGTGGGGTAGGTTCAATGCGCTGAATGGTCTCTGCCTGTTACTAAACATATATTGTAGAATTGAAGTCATTGTGGGCCAGATCAGTAAAGAAGACAAGTTTCCTTTCCCTGAAGGACATTATCTATGGATTTACCCACGATTATGAGCTCAGGAAACTGGGTTAAATCAAATTAGTGCTGCACCATTATCACCGGGGGTTTGGTAAGAGGGATCTGGGTGTTGTTCAGATGCCCAGCAGCTCCTGGACAATGCCCCCTGTATAGCTTTACCACACTCGCCCTCCCCACTGTCTGTGGGTGGGCAAATACATTTCTTAAGATATAAGAGGTTGTGTCACTGGTCTCCAGGAGGTTCAGGATTTCTGAATGATCTCTTGAATCTCTTTTCATGCAGCTGATAGTACAGTCCAACAGGGCAGAGTGGTCACCTTGGTGAGAATCCCCCCAGGTCAGCAGAATGCAGCAGAAGGATTGCAGAGATCTCGGAGATGGCTGGTACTTACAGTTTCACCTCGTTGCCCAGGATGTCCAGGTAAGCCGTCCTTGCCAGCTGGGCCCTACAAAGGGATCGGGTAAAGAAAGATATCACACGGCAGTTAATAATATGTTTTGAATGGTTAATTACAACAGGAAACAAATTCTTACAGGGAACTAATTTTCACTCCCCAATCCCAGGATTAGAGTCTGAATCCAGTCCACATTGATGCAATGAACGCCACTGTTCACAGAGTCAAAGTGTCAAAGGGAGAAGCTTTAGACACTAGCACCAGCCTTCTGTTAGCCACCATGTGATTAGGGACATAGGAAAATACCAGTCTGCAACAGTAAACCCTGATCAACTAACACTGGAATGAGAAAGGAGTTGGCCTGTGTGGAGGGAGCTTTACTCTGTCTCTAACCCTGTGCTGTCCCTGCCCTGGGAGTGTTTGATGGAGGAACAGTGTAGACGGAGCTTTACTCTGTATCGCACCCTGTGCTGTCCCTGCTCTGGGAGTGTTTGGAGGAACAGTGTAGAGGGAGCTTTACTCTGTATCACACCCTGTGCTGTCCCTGCCCAGGGAGTGTTTGATGGGGACAGTGTAGAGGGAGATTTACTCTGTATCTAACCCCATGCAGTCCTTGTTCTGGGAGTGTTTGATGGGATAGTGTATAAGGAGGTCATTCAGCCCAAAATTCATGAGTCAAATGCTATCTCTCTGGTCACACTTCCCAATTCTTTCTCCATAGTGTGGCAAATTGTTCTTTTTCAACTAAAGCTAAACATTTCCTTATCTGAGAATGAATTCAGTGATTGAACATTTGAGGGAACAAGGTAATATGTGACTGATTACCTATTAAGCTGATCTCTTAAACAAAGCATTATTTCTGAGTGAGTGCACATTTGTGAATCACTAAGCATTAAATAATACCTTAAAGAGTATTTGTATTTGAAGTGAGGAAATCTGCACTAACATACAATTTGACAAAAAAGATTATAAATTCCTACAATTACTCACAGGGGGTCCCTTGGGTCCAGCAAATCCCATTGGTCCCTGAGGTCCAGGTGGTCCCTACAATGTAAATAGAAGCAGATTGAGAAAAGGAATATTTGCATTTCTATATCATCTCTCTCGATCTTGTGGTGCTCCCAGTTGCTTGGCAGCCAATTAATTACTTTGAAATGTAACTCCTGTTTCAATGTTGAGAGTACAGCGGCCAAGTTGAGACCACGCTCCCACATAGTCAATTATACAAACGACCAGATCATTACTCTGTTGTGATCTTGGTTTAGGGACAAATACTTGCCCAAAACATCATGCCTTCTTCAAAATGAGGCAACGAGATGTTTTACATCTAACTGAAAGTGTGTTATCACTCAGATTAATGTCTTATCAGAATACGTGTCGGAAAACTCTGGATACTAACCATAGCCTGACACTCTGAGTTGGTACAACTTGTACATTTGTTGGCTGTGTTACTGAGATGGCCACACTAGTGGCTCTGAGACAAGAATGTGGCTGGTCTGTCATTAACCATGATGGTTTGTGCTAAGGTGAGGAGGCTGCAGTGGTTTCTCAGAGCTTGAGTTACATGTTATCATGCAGTTGGTTCTGGGGCATTGTCCCAATGTTCTGTGACTTTGAGTCCACAAACTGTGTCTTGGTGGCATTGCCTTGTGCCATGCAGTGGTCAGAGTTGTGTTGGCAGGAGCATGGCCATGCGACATTTGCCGCATCCTATCAGTTGTAGCCTGTGACTGTCCAAACAAGACAAGAAAACATGGCCAATGTTTCCCAGACAGTGAACAGGTCAGAGATCCGCAGGTAGTAACCAGTGTGATGTTATTAAATAGAGTTGGTCCTCACTGGGCAGCTAATGTAAATACATTCATGTAGCCTGAAATGTTTTTTTGACCTCTATTGTTTTATTTGCACAGTGAGAATTTTGTTTACAATTTCAAACCTATTCTTGTCACCTTACCAAATTCATCAATGCATAATGCAATACTTAGGTTTTCTTGATACCTGAAAGTCAACCAGCCCCAAAAATGGAGGATGTGAGTTGAGTGACCAAGCCAACATACATGTTCCAAATCTGTGATAACGATAGACTATCTGAATCAAATTCTGATCACCTCCTGCGCTGTGCTGAAAATCTCAAGGAATTTCAGGGAAAACTGGCTGCAAAAGACGGATTGAGTAAAAACAGTCTGATCTCTGCATGATGTACTCACATTCCTGTCTAGGCATCAAAAAACCATATTGGCATCTTCATGCTCCAGCACTGAACATGGAGGGGCAAGGGGTCCATGATAGGGGACAGCAAAAAAGAACACAGCATGGAAATAACAGACTAGAAGAGAAGGGATCTGGAGAATTCTTACCCGCTCACCCGTCGGACCTGGTGGACCATCATTGCCCGAGCTCCCCTGCAATCAGAGATGATTAGAGATGTTAGCTGCTGGCGACAATTTATAAGAACAACAATACAATGACTCTTCCTGGAAAAACCCCATTTGACAAGTATTCAGGGGGGTTGATTGATATCCCAACCCTGCTCCCTATCTGCCACACATCTGATATCCTAACCCTGTTCCCTATCTGCCAAACATCTGCACTGCAAGAGGCAGAGGCTCAATCTCCTTTCATCTATCCTGGGAGTGGGTGGGTTCAGAGTTTCCTTGTCTGTTGGGTACACAGCAGAAACAAAACTGAATACATTTTCAACCCAATTCTTGTTGGATAGCTGCATAAAACAAACTGATTCAAACAACATCAAGCATGACAAGGAGGGAGTAGACAATCACAGAAAAGACAGTGTGTTGTTCTGGCAGCAAAGGGCATGAGTGGGAGTTTTCTGATGATGTAACAGGTTAGGAATCTGGAATGCAAGTTGTTGGCACAAAGGATGGAGCAGCCATTTTGAGTTTTACTTTGTACCTAACCCTGTGCTGTCCCTGTCCTGGGAGTGTTTAATGGGGTAGTGTGAAGGAAGCTTTACTTTCAGTTTAAAAGAATAGGGAGCCGACTCTTTTCGGAAAGTAACATTACCTTAGGCCCGGCTTTCCCTGTGGATCCTCTTGGGCCGCGTTCACCTCTTGGCCCCTTTGATGATAAAATAAATAATGTTAGATTCACAAGAAACAAACTGTTAAATAGCTGAGGCTCCTAATGAGAAATTACATCAGTAAATACAGTGACGATGAAAAGGGATGTACATGAGCAGGAAATGAGAAGGTTGAGGAAATGGGTTTTTACCGTTGGGCCTCTCTGCCCTCTGGGTCCTGCTTTTCCTGGAGCACCCTGGAAATAAAGAAGAAGGAGACAGTTAATGAAAGGGGGCTGAGGAGGGCAGAGTCAGCACTCAGTGAGGAGTCCAGTATCGCTCCCTCCCACCAAGCCGTGCTGACATTTCTGTCAGTGTTATCCCTCTGGTCTTGTGTGACAGATGTTCCACATGGACTGATTGACGTGTAACTGCCCCTTTGGTTCATTGAGATCATTGTATCAGGGTAACTTGCAATGGGCAAAACAAACCACAAATGTCACATCCTTGTAAAGAATTTAGGAGAATTATGTACACACCAGGACAGACAACGAGATTGTTCATTACAAATCAAAGGGAAGCCTTTTGTTTGATTTCATGTCTTTCTCCAATTTCAAAGACATCTACACTGACCAATGGTTACAATGGAAGGGGAGGGGAAAGGGAAGGGGTTTATTTTACAAGGGGACCCCTGTTCAGTTACATTTGCTGATGTTTCTGTCTCACTGGAAGCACCTAGCAACCAGCAATTGTCATTAACAAAAAGCCGAACTGCACCCCCACACCACCCCCCGCCCCCCCAACACACACGCTCACACACACAAAAACCTCATCAGGAGTTAATGCATTTTCTCCAACTGGTCTGACAGCCAAGCTGACCCCTAAGATCAGAAGATATGGCAGTACAATTAGGCCATTTGGCCCATTAAGTCTGCTCCAATATTTGATCATGGCTGCTTTTCAAACCCATTCTCCTGCCTTCTCCCCATAACCCTTGATCCCCTCACCAATCAAGAACCTATCTATCTCTGTCTTAAATACATTCAATCACCTGGCCTCCACAGCCCTCTGCGGCAATGAGTTCCACAGATTCACCACCCTCTGGCTGAAGAAATTCCTCCTTATCTCAGTGCTGAAGGGTCATCCCTTCACTCTGAGGCTGTGCCCTCAGGTCCCACTCTCTCCTACTGGTGGAAACATCTTCTCCATGCCCACTCTATCCAGGCCTCTCAGTATTCTCCAAGTTTCAATCAGATCACCCCCCTTATCCTTCTAAATTACAATGAGTACAGACCACCCCTCCCCCACTCCCCAGTCAAAAGTCAGTTAGGACACAATACCACCACCCCATTCCTCTCTGGGTTTTCTCTCTGTTTTGAGAGGTCTGTCAACAATAATTCTTCAATGCAGCTGGGAGACTGGGGGCTTTTGAAAATCTCACAAGCAGTGATTGTGATCCTCAATGCAACTGCGTAAGATTGCAGCTCAGGGTGGTTTTGGGAAGGGAAGCCCCAAGGCCAGGGGTGGTTTGATGAAATTAGCATCAGCGACATGCTGGAGATGTTCCTTGGGACTGAGTGTTGCAGTGCAATTTCCGAGTCCCAGACAGTGTTGACTCAGAACAGGAATGGGTTGGACCAGATGCAGAACAGTTACTGAGCCAGTCCATGACAGAGCGGCTATTGAAAGTTGCAAAGCCAGATCGGTAAAAGTGAGGAATTGTAATCCCTTGTGAAGTTTAATAAAATGTAATGATCCAAATTGGTATTAATTTCTGGGGGAATAGCCGAGAAATCTGCGGGATCTGTTTTGATGTATTTGCTGTCTGAAGTGTCCATTTTCCATATTTACCACATGTTAATTCTAAGTGATAGGAATAAGTTGTATTATGGATTGCACTACTGTTCTAATGCTGTAAAGTTTATTCTTATTTGTACAAACTTTGGAATCTTGTTGCTTTGTTCTCTCAGTAAATCCCCTTAATCTCATGTATTGTCTCCTTGAAAAATAAATGTTTCTGGGCCCCAGCCAGACTGTAACATAAATCTGGAGTCTAGTCCAGGATTGCAACAGACTTTATCAAATGCTTTTATTTCCCCATGTCCCACACTGTCTCCTTGACTTGACCACCCAGTCTGTCTCCTTTACTGTGAGCCTTAGGGCCACAGTGGACAGGGTCATTGGAATGTTATTAAACTGGCACCCACCCTCACTCCTTTCTCGCCATTCGCTCCTGGAAATCCTGGGAATCCAATCGAACCCTGGAAAGAATGAGAGGAAAATCATGAACAGGAACTCCAGTAATTCCAGATAGGAAGCTGGGAAATGCTTCTCCATTGCCAGAAGTGCACTTACTTTTGGACCTTGTCTTCCTGGGTAGCCCGGCAATCCTGGAACTCCCAGTTTTCCCTTAAGGAACAGATGATACAGGTTAGCTGGGTGCAGGAAATGTGGGAATTTTCTCCTGAACCATTCCATCAGGTGACAGGAGGACGAGGATAACACCGTTCTGATTTTATCCTAACGTATTTCTCATTTTGCAAGTCAATAATTACTCCATATATTACAATAATTAGTAGCAAAAGGAGACCAGTGATCCCAATGTCACCTACTCACCATAACTCTCAAATTGACGATCTCATCAAATCTATTCGTGACTCCTCAGATACTCAAGCAGTCCATGTTCAAATGTAACAAGATCTGGACAATATCTAGGCTTGGGCTGACAAGTGGCAAGTAACATTTGTGCCACACAAGTGCCAGGCAAGGACCATCTCCAATAAGAGACAATTTAACCACCGTCCCTTGTCATTCAATGCTGTTACCATCACTGAATCCCCCACTATCAACATCCTGGGGGTTATCATTGATAAGAAATTCAACTGGGCTCACCAGGTAAACACAGTGGTTACAACAGCAGGCCCGAAGCTGGGAATCCTGCAGTGAGTAACTCACCTCCTGACTCCCCAAAGCCTGCCCACCATCTACAAGGCGCAAGTCAGGAGTGTGATGGAATACTCCCCACTTGCTTGGATGCGTGCAGCACCCACAACACTGAAGAAGCTTGACACCATCCAGGACAAAGCAGCCCTCTTGATTGGTACCACATCCACAAGCATCCACTCCCTCCACCACCGACGCTCAGTAGCAGCAGTGTGTACTATCTACAAGACGCACTGCAGAAATTCACCAAAGATCCTCAGACAGCACCTTCCAAACCCACGACCACTTCCATCTAGAAGGACAAGGGCAGCAGATACATGGGAACATCACCCACTGCAGGTTTACCTCCAAGTCACCCACCATCCTGACTTGGAAATATGTCGCTGTTCCTTCACTGTCGTCGGGTCAAACTCCTGAAATTCCTTCCCTACAAACAGACAGGTCTATCCAGAGCACAGGAGCTGCAGCAGTTTGAGAAGGCAGCTCACCACCACCTTGTCAAGGGCAACTAGGGATGGGCAATAAATGCTGGGATTTGCCAGTGGTGCCCTGGTCCCTGAAGGAATAAAGAAAGAAAATCCACATAATCCCACCTCCCATCATCTCCCAGTAATCTTCCCTCCCATTTTGTCACTAAAACCCTCAACTGTCCTCTGTCAAGAAATGTATCACATTTTCTCCAATCACATTAACACTGTCTACTGCAGAGAGCTCAGAGTGCTGCACGTACTGATGGTTCACAATCGAACAAGCTCGGTGTTCCATTTCAGAGAACTGCAGAAAGTAGAAGAGATCGCTTGATACTCAATATTTAACCAGCCCAGTATGACCCAGCAGAATGAGCCAGTCTGAGCTGAGCTGATGCTTGGCAATGTGGCTAGATGGAGTGACTGTGCTCTCAGTGATCAATCTGGTCAGGTACCTTTTCACCAACTGGTCCAGGTGGGCCATTATCTCCCGGCGGCCCAAACCGGCCCTTCGGACCCTCAGGACCATCTTCTCCCCTGGGACCAGGAGGACCAATCTCACCCTGAGAGAATACAAAAACACCAATCAGTCAATTGGGAAAAGCCCAGAGCAGCCAGAAAACTGAAAGCCATGGGAGAGGCTGATTACAACAGTGAGAGAGAGGGACACTGGGCGAAGGGAACACCAGGAAGAAGGAAATGGGATGACAGAGATGAGGGAAACGGGCGTGAGGGAAGCAAGGGAGAAGTGGGGAGGGAACAGCGAGACAAGAGAAATGGGAGTGGGGGATAACCACACAAACAGCGGGGAAGTGAGGGAAATAGGAATGAGGGGCACTGAGAGCAAGGGACACAGGGGAAGGACAGATTCTCCCTTCAGCAGGAGGGGAGGTAGAGGAAGTTTCTTTCTATTTCGAAAATATACTTTATTCATAAAAAATATCTTTATATACATACACGGTCACTAAAGCAGTTCACAGCAGAGTATGAAGAAACAAACGTTGGAGTTTGACTCTGACCAACAAATAAAGCAAAAGCATTTCTCACATATACAAGACTAGATTTACATATATTTGGGGTAAAGGCTGACAGGTCAAGGGGCAAAGACAGCATTTCTATCGTTGGCACTGCCTGAAGACTCACTACCTTTACAGTGAGCGGGAGATTTGACAGCGGATTCTATCTGTCTCCCAGATTTTCGCTAATTAGACCTGTCCTTTCTCTTTTGCATTTCAGACTCCTTGCCCTGCTCTCTTCTGCACTTTTAAATTTCAGAAGATTGATTAGCTGCATCTCTTTCCAAACAGTTGAAATTGTGAAATATTTTGGATCATTTTTTCTTTCTGCTGACTGAATCTTGACAGAAAACCAATTTCTCTTTGAATAAAGCTCCTTTGTGGACTGGTTTGGATTTACTTGGTGTTGTGTTACACTAATATCATGCAGAAACAGTGAGGGGTTGGCTGAGGGGAGACTTTGTGAGGCAGATTGTGTAACTGTGGCAGTAAATCGCTCTGACACCTAAGGACAGTCTCAAGTTCCAGGACAATTCAGCTCCAGCTGCTTGGCACTGTGATGGTGAAGGGATGAACGGAGGCTCAGAAAGTAAACCGGTGTCAGAACAGTCACTGGCCAGACGAATAGCCTTGGAGTCAGAGATGGCAAAGGAACAAGATCATGAAATACTATAACACATGAAATATAATGACAGAGTGTGAAAGAGACTGAGAGAGAGTCAGAGAGAAAATTGGACAGAGAGACAGAGAGAGGGTTAGACAGAGAAGGAGAATAAGGGAGAGACAGTTAGTGAGAGGGAGAGAAGGAGAGAGGGAAAGGGGGAGATAGAGACTCAGAGAGAGAGGAAGAGAGGGAGAGTGAGGGAGAGTGGGAGACAGACAGAGAGGGAGAGAGGAGAGATAGAAAGAGAGAGAGGGAGAGAGAATTAGACAGGGAGAGGGAGGTGGGGGGGAGGAAAACAGAGTCAGAGAGAGAGATGGAGAGATTTAGATTTGGGAGACTTAGAGAGTTAAGTGTGAGAGCCATTGACATAGTGAGGACAGCGGAGCAGACGTCGTGTCTGAGCTGGAGAGGGGACACACAGACAGGAATCTTCCCAAATCTACAAGTTGGGATTGGGGTACTTGATGCTTCAGCCCAAGTGGAGCTGTCTTCCTGGAAAGGTGGTGGGAGAAGTGTTTTTGAATATTTTTTGTGGTGAGGTGAAAGATGATGAGGTTCAGCAGGAATGTGGAACAATCAGCTCAGCTACAGTCTTATTGAATGGTGCAGCAGGGGTTCGAAGGGCAGAGTGACTTTTACCTGCTCCTAATCCACAGGTTGTACGGTTACGGACCACGGTTACCCACTACGGTTACTAACCACGGTTACCCACCACAGTTACTCACCACGGTTACCGACCATGGTTACTGACCTCGGTTACTGGCCACGGTTACTGAGCACGGTTACTGACCACAATTTCTAAACACGGTTACTCACCACAGTTACTGACCACGGTTACCAACCACAGTTACCAACCACAGTTACTAACCACAGTTACCAACCACGGTTGCTAACCATGGTTACTAACCACAATTACTAAACACGGTTACTCACCACGGTTACCGATCACGGTTACTAACCATGGTTACTAAGGCCACCCTTTGAGACATGGGACTGAGCCATTGTCACTGGGGGTCAAGCCACCCAGCTACACGCTCACTTTTCTGGTCATTTATTTCAATGAGTGGACTCAACGACTGACCCAGTCTCCAGCCATACAAGGACAGGCCGGAGGGACAGTCATGGTGAAAACATTCCTCATCTTCCCTGACTCCTCAATCCTTTATGTCACTGTCTGTCAGAGACGTGACACTCCCACTCACCTTGTTTACCTTGGTCCATCTCAGAGTGATTAATCACCAACTGGAAACCTGGTTTCTATTTTGGCCATCACACATTTGGAAGTCCCAGGCCTGGAGAGACTGTGGTGGTGGTGGTGGTGGTGGTGGTTGGGGGGTGGGGTTGGGGGGGTTGGTGGTTGAGATACAGGAATGGGCCCAGGGATGAGGAACTGCAGGGAGTGTGGAGAGATTGGAGACTCTGGGATTGTCCTCCTGGGAGCAGAGAAGGGGAAGGGAAGATTTATTCAAAGTGTTCAAAATCATGGTAGGGTCTGATCGAATCAATGAAGAGAAACTGTTTCCAGTGGCAGGTGGGTCAGTGACCAGAGGGACACAGATTTGAAGGGAATTGGGAAAAGAACCAGAGGGAGAGAGGAAGAGAATTTATTTTTACACATTAATTGATTGTGATCTGGGACGTGCTGCCTGAAAGGGAGATGACAGCAGATTGAACAGGAACTTTTCAAAAGGTGGATCAAAGAGATACTTGAGAAAGAAATATTTTTAGAGGTTGTGGAGAAATGAGAAATGGGGAGGAGTGGGATTAACTGGATAAACTTTTCAGGGAGCTGGTATAGACATGATGGACTGAATGGTCTCTTGCCATGCTGTATCACTTTGCGATTCCAATCTTTATTTCATTGCCAGGATGTAATGTTTGGGTACTCACTCTGTCGCCCTTTACTCCCATATCACCCTTGAATCCTGGGAAACCATCTTCACCCTGTTAAAGCACAAAGGCAATGTGAGAATAAGATTGTGTCACCAGCCATCACTGAATCCACTCCCACAAAGGCAGATCCCAAACAGTGACACACTGACTCTCCCAACAAACACACCCATACCCAACACACGCTCACACTCACATTCCACCCACTTACACACACACACACACACACACACACACACACACACACGTCACACCCAGGTTCTCTCAGACACACTTGGCTTCTGTCTCTCAATACCCTGTAAATACAAAAAGTTCTTCCCAACAGTTGTAACAGACCTGTGCCTCACACTTGACGTTAATAAGCTGTTCCTTACCTTCTCGCCTTTATGTCCCATCAAGCCACGAACACCATCAGCACCCTGAGAAAAAAACAACAGGTCACAGTTCACAGGTTTTGGTAAAATAATCTGACAGTGCACCAGAATGAATGTAACATTTCCCTGCCCAGACACAGCCAGGGAGAAGGAAGACCAAGAAGCAGCTTCCCTCATTTATGATCCCAGCTGATGGTAACACTGGACGAGTCACATCCCAGAGTAAGATCTGGATTGATGTACCATAAGTTTCATTTGTTCAGTTTGTTTCATAAAAGGCGGCCAATGTACTTTAACAAAAGAACATCAAATTTCTTCTACAAAAGAAAAGCATGACCTAGACAAGAAAAATTGGAAGCATTTCATTGCAAACATCAGAAAGAAAGTTTCATCCCTTTTACTCCAGTAACTTGCAGATACTCAAACCTCAGTGAAGAGTCACTCTGATCTCCATACTAAAGCTTCTTGCTTAGCTGGAACAGCTGCAATTTGTTTCCTTTTGGCACTTTCTTGTGATTAATAATATGCTAATTCTTACTGTAAATGTCTCTCTCCAGACCCTCAAAAGAGCTCACTATTACTTAATATGGGTTCCCTTTCTTTACGTCTTCCACAAACTTGCAGAATATCTTCCTTTCTGAAACCTCC